AATAAAAATTATAAAAATTTGATTAGCTGAATTATATACTTTTTTAACAAATGATTGATGAGTGACATTATGCCAAATAAATCAATTTCAGCTAATATAGGTTTTAAACTTTATTTTTCTATATTTTTGTGTGATATTAAAGAACTTAGGTAAAAGAGCAGTTTTTGTTAAGCCTGGTATTAGTAAAAGGAAACATATATTATGCTTTGGTTTTATAAATCTTGTAATTACAAGTCAAAGTATAAATAAAAATAATATATGAGAACTGTTTATTTCTTCAAAAATAAATAAATAAATAATATAAAAATTTTAATACATATTTTTTAAAACTTAAAAAATAAGATTACTTAAAGATTTTTTTAAAAAAATAATTATGTAACTAAAACTTTAATTATTTTTTAATATAAATTTAATATAGATGGAAATTATAATTTTTAGATAAAAAAAATTTTTTAAATATTATTTATTTTATATAAAAATTAATAAATATATTTTTCATAATCTAAAAGAAATTTTTTTAAACAAAAAAATGATTCACCCATCCTAGTTATTTTTTTCCAATAACTATTCTTAAAATAATTTTTAATTAACAAATAAATTTTACTTTTCTAAATTTAAAATAAAAATTAAATAATACATATTTTTTAATAAAATTTATATCTTTTTTTTCTTATATTCTAAAAAATGTTTTTGTAAAAATTTAGTTAAATAATTATTAAATAAAAATATTAATTTAAAAAAAAGGTGTTTTTTTTGTTCCAGATTGTATATAACATAACATGTTTGTAACTATTGCTATATTGTTATAAAACAACTATATATGTTGTTAATGCTACTAAGTTTCATGAATTATGCTTATGTTGTCAGTTTTTTCTTTAGTGTTTATTTAATGTATTATTATTTTTTGTATGTTTTGTTATATGGTAACATGTTAAAAGTTATAAAATGATCAAAAAATAAATGCATTGTATGTATGCAATTGCTCTATAATTTGACGATAATAGACTAAATTTAACTGAAATATTAATCAGTAAATTAGCCAAATAAATCTTTATTATTATTAATCAGATTCATTGACGTAAAACAATTTGGTTTTTTCTTCGTTCATGTACCATATATTATTGGTTTGGTATTCCGCTATACAACTTTCCAGTTGATCTTTTGTGTAACGTGCGGTCACTTCTTTTACTATCTGATCATAATCCAAAAAGTCAGCCTCTGTGCGAGACCTTATCTCATTAATCATTTCATAAATAGCTGACATCGGTGTTTTATCGCCTTTGGTGAAGTTAGATTTATCCCTCATTGAATCCTTGGATATTTCAAGCAATCTTAACGCTTCATCAATATCCTCTCGTATAACGCTATCGGCAAGTCGAATCCTTGCCAGAGCGGTCGCCAACCGAATCACCGCTAAAATCGTGCGCGGACTTACATGCGAGTGTTCCTTCTTGCGACTTTCGTCGTTTTTTTGTTCGCGACGAAGGTCAACGTACGAACCAACAATGTACTCTTTAAGTTCTTGCGGAATAACAGGACGTTTCGTGCGAGCTTCGGCAATGTAATGTCTATTTTTTTTGTGGTCATATTAATAAGACCAGTCATTTTTAAAATAACAAGTGCTATAATTCTTACCTAATAGTGCTAGCGTCTAATACATCAATACCAATATCTGGATGTTTACCGTGTTGATGAACATAGGCCACGTGACTTGCCATTGCTTCATCCAAGTCGTTATTGTGTGTGTCCAATATCAAAAATAGAATATCAAATCTCGACATAAGAGCCGCAGGGAGATTAATATTATGTGTTGGAGACATTTTGGGATTGTAACGTCCATGTAATGGATTTGCGGCTGCTAGAATGGAAGTACGTGCATTCAATGTAGTAGTGATTCCTGCCTTGCTAATACTGATAGTTTGTTGTTCCATCACTTCATGAATGGCAGTCCTATCAGTATCTTCCATTTTGTCAAATTCATCAATACAACAGATACCGTTATCCGCAAGCACCAAAGCTCCACCCTCTATAAATAAACCTAAAGGTAAAATAACAGTGCTGGATATTTAAACCATTTGAATTGCGATAGTTTATCTTACCGAGTACCATCTCGTCAGTAACTGGGTCGCGTTCTACTGAAGCAGTCAGACCAACACCCGAACTTCCACGACCAGTGGTGTACACGCCTCGCGGTGCCACTTTGCATATGTATTTAAGTAATTGTGATTTTGCCACACCAGGATCTCCCATGAGACATATATTTATATCACCACGAATCTTCATCCCATCACCCATTGTTTTGGATACGCCACCAACGAGTTGCAGTAATAATGCCCTTTTTACATCTTCATGGCCATATATCTCTGGAGCGATGCTTTTTGCCAATAATGTATAAGCATTAGGATCCCTGGAAAGTTGCAGAACCTTTTCTTGGATCAACGGATCCTTTTCCATTTTGTCGTACTGTTTTTTAAGTTGTTGAATGTATTGTGCTTCGAGATAAACATCTGTCAACAGAGTGTTAGAACCTCGGTAATTCTGGTGCGGGGTTGCCTGATAAATTCCTGATATATTAACGACATCACCGGGATTTACTGTTCTTGTCAAAGGGCCGTATAAGTAAACAGTCATTGATCTAGGAATATGACCTACAGGTACTTGTTCCGTCTGATTGGAATTATTCATAGATTATATTATGAATAATTAATCTATTAGATTTTATAATTATTTTAAGTAATTTATCACCTACCATTTCCTGCATCTTAACTTCCTGAAAAGGTAAAAACTTACAAGATCGAGTCTGCATATACAGTTTCCCTTTAACATTATTTGTTCTGCAATTTTCTGAAGGACACTCGATAAGTGGCTGATAGGTTTTCTTTGTGACTTCCTGAAAGACTTCTTCACCACACATTTCACAAGAAAACCCAGCAACCATTAAAAATGGTTTCACGTCATGTACACGAGTAATTATTCCTTGCACAGTAACCAACTGACCAACACAAAAACCACCCACTTCTCGGATTGAGAGTGGTTGATCTGTCGTCAATGGTTTAAAATAAAGGGTGCTATAAATTGAAATCATATTACAATATTATATAAACTATTAAATGTTTACACAGAAGCATTGAGTGCATTAAGTCTCAGCATCAACAGCTTACTATCTTCTTGTCAGAACAGGCGGAAAGTGAGCCCTATCTTCCTCGGACCTTTGTGCGTCCCTATCCTTTCGATGTTGCATTATTACATCAATAACATCATCTTCAATTCCGATATCTTTTTGAGGTTTAGGCATCAAACCATCATCCTTATTGTCAATAGCTTGATAAAACAAATCAAGATATCGTCTGATATTTTCTTTAATTCTGAGAAGTAACCCGTTTTCGACTCTGTCTGTCCACTATTAAAAAAAAAAATGTTTGTTTTCAGCTGATGTCTAAATAAATGCAATTTTAGTTGGTTACTCATTACATTAGCAATATCATCCAACTCAATGATAAGATTATCTTTTACACGATTTGCTATTAATTGCTGTAATTTACCAAATTTATATTATAAGTAACAGAAAATCATTCGCGTACAAGATAATCCTTAGGACTACTTACAAGTTGTCTAAGATATTTATAATTTTGGGGGTTATCATCTTCAACATCTATATCCATTTCGCCATATTGCGTTTGTATACCTTTATCTTCGAACTTAAGCAAAAATAATTTGATTTCGTCTATTAAATGGAGATAAAAGAAATGGTAATCTCGCGTTTTCTTTTAAATGTTGCTATGGGATTCTGGCACAATCCTCAATTACCAAAGAGACTTACTTTTATCCTTTGCATAATTAACGTTTACTTTTAGAGTCTGAAACGCTTGAGCCATGATTTTTTTTAATGGATTTAATAGAAGCACGCGTTTTAAATTTGACGCGAAATTTTAGGATCTGCTTATAAGTACTGCATGTATGGTTTCACAAAAGCTATTACTATTATTACCGTATTTACAAAAATCAAATATGTGTTAATAAATCAAATAATTTTATATAAAAAATATTAAAAAAAAATTTTTTTTGAAGAAACAAATAATAATTATAATTTATTTTTATTATAATTTTAGACTTGCAATTACAAGCTTTATAATTTTTAGCATAATATATATCTTTCTTTGCTAAAAAAAGTTTAATGCAAGGCTTATAATTAGAAATCAAAGTTTTAAACTAAAAACAGATTGATTTGTAAATCAATTTCAATTCAAATTAGTTTGATTTTTAAAAATTTAAATTCTATAAGATTCAAATTAGTTTAGTTTTAAATTGAATCAAAATAAAAACAAAAAATTAAATTAAATTAAATTAAAATATATAAAGCAATAAACAAAAAAATCAAAAATTTTTACAACTTAATTCTGTTTTATCA